CTCTCTCTCTCTCTCTCTCTCTCTCTCCATTTAATCTAGATTATTTAAACTTCAAAACAAAGTATACATACCGGCCTTCCCTGTGCAACAGGCAAACCATACCCACCCCATAGACACAGACCAGAAAAATTTACCCAGACCAAAAAATAGCACCGCATTCATTTCTGATGGCGAGTCGTTAAACAAATTGAGTGTATTATTCCACATGATTACTGCCGGCAGTACAGCCATCGCCAGTACAGTCACACCTCGGTATAACAAACCCTCCTCAATAAACGGCACGACTAGTTTGGTGTCCCGTTTAATACCATAGCCGGCCAATAGGCCGATGGCAAACGAGCACACGTACTGTAAAGTGTTCATGTGGTAGGCAAAAATGGACAGGGTCATTGTCTGTAATGAGTCCAGCCTGGTGATTTCGTAATACGTGTTTAAACCGTATAGTATATATGGTGACATAATTAGCACGATTCCTGTTAGTATGACCATTATGGTTATTTTAATACCCAGTGCGGGGTACTTGTGTAATGTTAGTACCAGTGCCGGCGCTAATAGACATAGTTGAAAGTTTGATGATAAAAACCATGTAACGTGCACGCACTATTAAAAATATAATATAAATAAACAATTTATAAAGTTAAACAACATTTACATAGTTAAACAACAATAATTTTAAATACAAAAATGTAGCACGCACAATTCCAAAAAAGTATTTCCCGCTCAGTATATTAAAATTGCTGTAATAGAGAAAATTGGACATGATGATTTTCCAATCCTTACAACCGGGTTGAAAATACTGGTCGCACTCGTGCCATACGGGCCCACTGCCCACCAATGGTAGCAAATAGTATAGTAATAGGGCGGAGGACAGGGGAATAGACAGCTTGAGCCACCGTTTGGCCACATAGGTCACATAGTTAAATTTTGCGTTTGATTTATCAAGCACACCGATGAGATTATAGCACAATAATAAACCCCTGTATTAACAACAAAATAAATATCAATTATGATATATCTAAATGTTATTATTAATTCTGTTTAATATAGGAATAATGTTGGTTAAATAGTGGGGGAGGGGGTTAGGATGGGAACAGGTATACTTACGATGAGACCATGAAGGTGTCGATACCCAGTTGTTTGGCCCTCACAAAAAAGTAGCGGTTCTCGTGAAACAGCTGTAAGGGTACGGATGTGTTGAACGATTTCAATAGAAATGAATGAGCGGTAAAGAAGTAGGTGTGGGCGCACACCATCTGCAACGACACCAACAGTTTGATGGTATTTATAGGTGCAAAGCGTCGACACTGACCGGTGCTGTCCGGCCATAGTTGCCGTGTGTTTGTAATGACAGAAAATGATAGCAACACTCGGTTTAGTGAGGGTTGTATCGGTTTTCCGCCAGTGTTTTTAGTAAAATAGTGGGGTTTTAAATTGGCGTGATATAATTCGTACATGGTGCTAATTAGTGCTAGGATGGCCAGTGTGCTGAATACGAGTCTGTAAAAACATGAATGTATTATTAATATATTTACAAACTGTAAATATATATTTTAGATAAAATGACCAATGTAAATATTTGTGAGTTTATTGCACTTTTGGATAATATAACACTTAGTCTTTTGATATTAATTTAAAAATACAATAAGAAGTTAATTTTTTACTAATTATTGAAATAAAATATGATTTATAAGAAAAATGTAATCCAATTATACATACATTGAAAAGAGCTGAAAGCCATCCAAACTGATTGGTCGGTCCTTTACAGCACATGTCAACTCATTTATCTCAACCGGTATTCGTAATAATGGGTATATAACTAGATATTTTAAAAATTAAATCATTTTACGTTAATTATATTCTTCCCTTTCAATTCTCTCTCTCTCTCTCTCTCTC